TGACTGCTTACACCCCTACACTACGCTACCCTACTACCCTATGGCTATGCTACCCTACACTGCCACTAATACTACTGTCCTACTTCCAGACCGGCCTGTTGCCGGCTGGGCTGTCAAACACTACGGAGCTGAAAAAGTCACAACTGTCCACAGTCAGTGCATTCGAAAAAGTACCGTCATATGGTCCTTAAAGGGTTAATGCCGTTTATTATTATTTATTATTATTAAATTTTGAATAGGGCAGTCCCACAGGCCTAGTTTATTATTTTATTATTATATTTTACTACTACTTTACATGTATATTTTTTCGGCAACGCAGCAACACAGATGATGATGATGATCCGGGCAAGTATATGTACAAGCTAGGCCTCGACCAAATATGCTAAAAAAAAGAGCATATTATGCTCGTCGCATATCAGGGAAAACGTCCATAATAATTATGCCAAAGGCTTAGCAAGATATGCAAAAAGATATGCCAAAATATGCCAAAATATGCTCGACATAAGCAGAAAGTGTAGATCATTTCAGTAAAATTACAACCTTGGAATATTCATTGGCTTCACGGCTATCATGCTTATGGTGCAAATCAAAACACATGCGGAATAGTATGGCTGGGGTGTGTCCCCACTGCAACCGTAGCGATAGTGTTCATCCGGGGGGAAATGTAGCAAACGCCTCAACCATTCCAAATTCAGCCATAAAAGGCATTTCTGAACGCCTTTTGTCCATAATATAAATGTTTTGTCCTCATTTTCTTCAGAATATTTGAATTATAAGCTGGCTTCATTCCAATATTCCCTTTGTCGCTCAATATGCCATATATGAACTGTGTCACAAAATATGCGGAAATATGCGCAGGCATATTTGGTCGAGGCCTAGTACAAGCTACGCAGCTAAACCCTTGCAAAAAGTGCTCACTGGCATGCACGAGGGCAGAGCCAAAACCCAAGTAAGTTAGCACTGGAACTAGGCGTAACAACGAAGTTCATTGTTGTCTGAGATTGTCGGATAACCATGAAACTCCGAGTTACAACTTATTTTAAAAAACATGTAGAAGAAGTGACATGGAAACGAGTTATGAAGCAACTATCCACGACTATAACAAGTAGTCAGAAAGTGCGATAACAGGGCACACTGGCAACTGACAAGCTACTGAGACATTCAACGACCTGAGCTATGAGGCCTACAAGTAGATTGTAGCCCTATAACTTTACTAACACTGAAGAATAGTAAACGTGTTTTGCAATTATATGTATGAAGCTATTTTGTATATAGTATGTTCCCATTCCGTTTTTGCTTTGGTGTAGCCCTGAGGTTGATTGCTTATTTATTTTTACCCTTCCTCTCTCCGTACTTCTGTCCCCCCCCCCCCCCTCTCTCATTCCTTCTGTCGTCCACATGTATCAAAGGAGGCGAAATCGCCTGTTTGTGGTGCGACGTTAAATAAACTTCTACAACAACAACACATCTCCAGTGCGCAGTCTACTGTCTAGAGAGTCAAGTACTCATGTACTAGTATAGTAGCAGTTGACGCCGCGCACCTTTTCGCAGCCCAGTGTTAGCAGGTCTAGGGGACTAGGGCTGTGCAACGCCCCGAGCGTACTTGAGAAACTCGACTGGATTTCGTTGAGGAGTACTGTGCAATGCATACCTACATGTACATGTTCAATGATCAATCATGAGCATATACATGTACAGTGCGTATCGGTTATAGTGTAGTCGTATTATTATTATTATTATTTTGTAAGAAAGGTTTGCTCCCCACACAAAATCATCGCCGAAGTCGCAACCACTACTTCGTATTATTATTATTATTATTATTATTTCACAATCACGATGACATAGTGCCAATAAGCATGTGATGCGGGCGATTTTAACCAGCCATGGTGGGGACAACTGAGAAAAAGAAGGAGAAGAAAAAGAGAAAAGAAAAGAAAACAAAAGGAGTACTATAGGAACCTGGAGAGAGCAGTATGAAGATTAGGCTAGCAATGGAAAACAACGAATTCAATTCAATTCAACTTAGGCGCGGGCAGAATGGAACAAAATGCAGCGAAGGTGTCACGAGACTTTACCTCCTGCGGAAGCCGAGACCAATGAGAATAGGACTTGAACAGAGGGGATTTTAAAAGGATCGATGACCTGGCAAGTGGGAAATGGAGAGAACATCTAGTACGCGAGCTATTATTGAACCAGCTTAAATGCGCAAGTGCATGAGGAGGAGCAAGTTGAAGCTTAATACGGTGAATGAATTTGCATGCCGAGTGGGGAAAGCGTTCTGAGAGAGGGGAAGAGGAAGCCAAAATGTATAGCGTCTGAGAGGAGGTCAGAGGGGGCATGCGAAATATTAATCGAAGTAATTTACGGTGGGTGACTTCTAACCGATGCATAAGAGCGGAGGATAGACCGGAGGACCAAACGAGAGAGCAGTAATCAAACAAAGGAAGAACATAAGCGTGATAAATTTGTATTCGACAACCATGGTGTAGATGGGAGATGTGAGGAGAAATGCAGCCTATCGCGGAGCAAACTCGCTTTTCAATATAGGTTACGTGCGAATCCCAGGACAAATGTTCATCAAGAAATATACCAAGGTGTTTGTGATTTTTAACCCATTGAACGCTGATGACGTCTATAGACGTCATTGAAAATGCCCCCCATGCGCGGGATGACGTCTATAGACGTCATGGGATATATAGTGATTTCTGGCACTGTCTGGTGTGTAAAAGCACTGTTAGTCAGTTGGATCATGAACCTGCCTCTTGTACGATAGGTCGTTGGTACGAATCCCGCTTGGAAACACTACGCGTCTTTTTTTCTTCTCTTTTCAGCGATCTTTCAGCAGCAATTTCACGCATTTGGCGTATTTCACGCAATTTGAGCAAACTTGCGTCCCCTATTGTGAGGCGCTATTCTTTTGGGGGACTGTATCGATTCTGTCACCCTGTGGTTGATAGTCTTGGCAATCATTTCCAAAATATTTGAGGACCCCAGTTGCCAGAACCCTGGAGTTTTAGAACTTGCTATTGGCCCTGTTTTTAGCATTTTATATGCAGAGTACCATAGGCAAGGCCCAGTAGCGCTGAATGGGTTAACAGTGTTGATAGCAATGGGATCATCAGGGAAAGTAAAAAGCCGAGTTGTAAGGAGGGTGAGGTCACTGGAGGGTCGTGGGGGGATACAAAGGATTGCCGTTTTCGACACATTGGGGCGGAGTTTCCACTTCGACATCCAGCGCACAACTTGATTTTAAATGTGATACTGTAGCGAGTCGCAGGCTTGCAATAAGCCTGGCTCGGTTATATGGAGCGCTGTATCGTCCGCGTAGAGTGAGGTATGATCCAAACCTGCCAAATCATTAACGTATACGATGAACAATAGAGGCCCCAAGATAGAGCCCTGGGGCACTCCAGAGTGGACTGTTAGAGGGGCGGACAGGGCATGTCCAATTCGGACACTCTGTCGACGTTCAGTGAGATAGCTGGTGAGCCACTGCAGACACGTCCCGGCTACGCCAAACGCTGCTAACTTATGGAGGAGACCCCTTGTCCAGACAGTGTCAAATGCATTGCTGAGGTCGAAAAAACATAGGAGGCTAAATTGCTTCTGATCCTTGCATTCATATAGCTTCTGCACAAGCCTCAGCAACTGCCAGGCGGTCGAATCGCCTCGCCGAAATCCAGACTGTGACGGGTCAAGGACCGGGTTCACATGTTGGTATAAGTGGCCAAATGCCACACGTTCACAGAGCTTTGAAATGGTGGAAAGGAGTGAAATCGGCCGGTAATTGGATGCAGACAGTTTACTGCCTTTATTCTTGTAAATAGGCACAACTACAGCTGCCTTCGAGATATCAGGGAAGATTCCGGTGGCGAAGGACTGGTTGAAAACTAGGCTGAGAGGGATAGCTATACTAGGAGACAGGGCTTTTAGCAGTTCATGGGATATGCCATCTGCACCTGCCGCCTTCTTGGGCTTTAGGCGACGGATGTGTTGGGCAATGGCGGTGGGAGTAGTGCGTATACAAGAATATACTGCCTACAAGAATGAACACTCATTTTTCATAATCATAACACCTATTTTATGTGTATATTTATTCTTACAAGCAGTATTATTGCATAGTAGAATATATCGGCCCTGAGAATGGATTTTGTGTAGCAAAATATGCCAGATTAGTGCAAAATGTATCGCCTGTAGTAATAACATCTGTGCTCTGTGCATGCTCAATACAATAATATTCAACACAAAAAGAGAGTTATGTCCAACTGAGCATTGGAGAATCACTTTTTCTGTCCAGTCGGACTCTTTCTTCCGACTTCTCTCCTATCTGCTGCTCCGCAGTCGCCTAGCACGACCGCGAGTCTGATCCGTGTGTATCATGATTGTGTAGACCTACATGATTGTACGTGTCCACATGCCAAACATGTATTATGTCACACGTGCATATGATTATGTCACACGTGATTTATCGTGTGTAAGAAATATCGGCAATAAGAATCAAAATTAATGTCGTTTTTCAAACACCCACGCTATAACCGATACCTACTGTACATGCTCAATCTGCGAACAGACCCTTTGTCGACTTGTGTACATGTACATGTACAATAATTATTAATGTATTAGTATTACAACTTGTGTAGATGTACAATGATTCAGGCCAGTGATCTGCGATGCTAAAACACACCCATAAATGGCATAATGTTCTCAGTAGACCGGGGTACCCATAACTTGGAAGTCCAGATTAGAGAGGTATGATTATGAATGTATGAGACGAGTTCTTCTGCACAAGGCATGGCTGGGTTTGTTCCGGAATGTTGTTTTATGTGTGTAAAAAGACAGCTAGCCGGCAACAAAGAAACAGTTAAGCAGCACAGGTGTGTGAAACATACATGACATGTTGTATTATTATTATTATGTACATGTTGGCCTGATTAAGTTTATTTTAAAGGTTGATGGACACACGCTGGACCAGCGGATAGCAGACTCACACCAACAACAGCTCTCGTAACGAAAGCAACAAACAATTATTAAGATCCTTTTACAGATAATTCACGTGGGATTATTATACGCCGCTGTGCTCAGTTTGCACATAGCCGAACCTAGTATGAGTGATATCGCTAAGCAAACAGCAAAAATAACTGTTTGAGAACAATATTGCGTGCCGAATGCCTGCCTTTTGTTGCAAGGCTGCAATTTCCGCAGCGAGTATACAAGCAATCTGCGAGGAGAAAGCAATTTAACTTACGCTATCAATATAATGAAGTCCACAGGCACCACCATGCAACACTTCTAACAAGTTTCATGTTGTGTGGTGATGTGTGCAGTCTTCATTCTATGTATACATGTAAAATCATGTAGCTTAAAATTGAGGTGATGATGACTATTAAAACAAAAACACGCGTGCATCGGATAATTAAGCCGTGAGTTGTTAGTGACGCCCTGGACAAGAGATTCAGAACGGCAATGGCAGCGAGAGGCACGGTATCAGGCGTTTTGGCATGACTGATGTGAAAGCTGAGAGAGAGAGAGAGAGAGAGAGAGAGAGAGAGAGAGAGAGAGAGAGAGAGAGAGAGAGAGAGAGAGAGAGAGAGAGAGAGAAGAGATAGCTAGCTAGCTAGCTAGATAGATAGAGAGAGAAAAATTGGGAAAGAAAGAGAGAGAGAGAGAGAGAGAGAGTGTGTGTGTGTGTGTGTGTGTGTGTGTGTGTGTGTGTGTGTGTGTGTGTGTGTGTGTGTGTGTGTGTGTGTGTGTGTGTGTAAGCTTCTGTGTGTGCATGCAAGCACATGTATGTGCGCGCACGTTTGTGCGTTTGCATCAACAAAACAGCATGGATGTACTGCTCACCATTGGTGCCTCCAGCAGTACATGAGCACAATAGTGAACTATCCGGAAGCAATGCTAAACATGAGGCAGCATGGCACGTTCATCTCCAATCACGATACTGTACGCATGGCCGATGATCATTATGTTTATCCATCGCTACCTCATGGATGATCTTCAGCATGTTGTCGCTTGTATTCCTGGATAGCTGGTAACTTTGAGACACGTTTGGCCAGGTTGAACAGCTTTGGGTAATCTTCCAAGAGTGTGTTCTCCGTGTCTAGTTCCGTGGCGATTTCCCACGCGCACGCCCAGTATATGTCCGCTAGCGAGAGCGACGTACCGACAAAGTACACTCCCTCTGCGTCCTGCCCGTTGACCGTCTCGTTCGCGACGACTTGCGAGTTGAGGAAGTTCAGGTAGCGTGGCAGGTGAGTGCGCAGCTTCTCGACCCCCTCCTCCGTGTCCAGACCTACAGCTACCGGCTGCACGTCGGATGGGCTGGTGGCAAACATGTTCTGGACGAAGGGCATGACGAGCCGCCCGGCCTCGGCTATCGTCGTGTGTATCTGATCGATCTGTGCCGCTTCCACGTCCGTCTTGCCATAGAATCCCAGCTGCATGGGCACAATTGGACAAATCGCAAGGACAAAAATGGGACGATCAGTCGGGAAAGTGAACTGCCTGAATAGAGAAGAAATGCCAGGCCCACCAGGACTCGAACCCGGGACCTTGCTTTTCATGAGCAATGCTCTAACCATCTGAGTTATGGGACCAGGCCGAAAATAGAAGGCGCTAAGGACGATTCAGGATATAACCAATTGGTTTTTCAACGGAGAAAGGGACAATTAAAGTCTTCAACAAGTCTTGGGATTTCGCGATGACTGACACAGTCTTTTCAATGGAGAAATGGACAGCTAAACTCTTCAACAAGTTTTGGACATTTGCCTTGGCAGACGCGGGCCCAGGCGGAAAAGGCAGAAGCCGCACACTCTGGATTTTCTGTTCGCTCCACGAGTATGTCTTGTCTGAAGACAAGACCAATTCGATCTGAAGCGAAATACAAGAGGGTTGAATGTCTAGAGCAGGCCCTGACATGCCCAGTTTGAGGTTCGAATCATCAGTCGGTGTTATTGTGGGAATTGCATTGACTGAAATCGGTCCTGGAAGAACTTCTAAATTATCATGAGCGGCATATTCGAAGTTTAAAACCCATATTTGAAAGATCAGGATTCCCGCTGCACCGCGCAACTCACTTAGTACGCACTCCCTAATAAGGCATGATCTTGTTTAGTACAGACATACAATGTACATTGTCCTGAGCACGTGATACATACTGAAGTGTGTTAGGAGATGTAGCAGCTAGGATACTAAGTCGACATGTACTATCCTGCTACCCAAGCAAGTACGTCTTATGATCAGAGTTCCACATACTGCAAAATCAGAAATATTCGGTGGTGTTTTATTTTCAGTAACTTCGGTGCCGACATTTGTTACCTAAAAAAAGACATACCTAAAATGTCGGTACTCGTACTAGTACACTTACATGGAAAACGGGTTTACCGAAAATTTCCCTCCACTGAACCGCCGATTTTGGAGAATACCGAAAATATTACACCACCGAAAATTTCTGCTTCTACAGTATTCCCAACTTGGCCAAGTCGACACCACTTAATGTTTACAATGATGTGCATGTCTGTGAATCATGCATACCTGCCAACGATGCCGATTTGGTGTGGACATGACCGTTCCGATATGGAGTTGGGAGTAGACAAGGGACCAGTCCCTGGAGAGGACCTACGACGTTCCACCTGACGACCAAGACTAGCACTGTGCGATAGGCTGCTTGGCGCCTTTGCGTTTGCAGGGTGGTAGATCTACTAGGCACCCAAAACTGAATGCGCCGCATACCTCATGGCTACATTTGTGCAAAGTCATGTACTTTTCACACCCATGTATGCCATTGTCCCGATCTCAGGTTTTCAAAGGTTGGTAAGTATGATGACGACTGTACATGTCCATCACATTGTATGTGTGTTGCTTATGCAGAGTCACAGTGTGTGTCACAACCAGCGGTGTTCCTACCTGTTTCGCCACGAAGCGGTCGATGCAGACGCTCTGGTGCAGCGCTCCCATGCCCTCTACCTCCAGCACGGGCAACTGCTCGAGCGGCACTGTCCGCTGTATGCGCCGCCACTCCGCCTCCGACACGCGTCGGTCGTCGAAGTCGACGCCGGCCAGCGCGAACATGTAGCGCGTCGCCTGCGCATGGCCGATCGTGTCGAAGTATGTCAGCGTGTACTTGGGTTTGGACCGAGTCTTGGCACTCTTGCTGCCGCTACTGCCACTGCTGGGCTGGGGCTTTGCTTTGGGACTTGTCGTTCCCGGCGTCATTTCTCTACAGGTCTGCGCCGACTACAATAATTGTAGTTCCGGGTGGAGGACACACAGTTGTCTTGGTCACCTTTTCAACAGCAGCCTACTGGCATCACGCTCCTTGGGCAGACAGGAACAAATACTCGCCTCTGGTATTTTTCTGTTTTTCTGGCTCTTGAACGAGAATCTGTTCAGCAGTAGATCTACAGACCAACGACGTTACGTGAAGTTGTTGTTCAGTATTACTATTACAGTCGAACGTGAATGTGTTCAGTACTGTAGTCGAACGAGAAAATCAAGAAGTTCTTCGTCTGCTCGAGTCTCAAACAAGCGCATCACAAAAATTATAACTAATATAAGGGGTTCACACCAACACTACATTGAATCCAGTACATGTATACAGTCATCATTGAGTGTGTGTACTGCTAGCGCCAGTACTAGTACAGTGTACTGGTGTATGTAGACACTGAGTGAGGTGAGTGAGAGTGAGGTAACCTTTGCGGCTAGCTTGCGACAAGCACCACCGGCACTGGTACCGAGCGTGTGTAGCACAGACCGATGTGTAGTGCAGCGTCAGCCTGAACTGAAGAAGTGCAGATCTATTGACTGAGAGTCTGTGTAGGCCATGGCGCCAGTCACCAGGCGCAGAGCTCTAGAGTCTAGTCTAGACTACAAATTACAATGTAGAGGCTAGCTAGCTAGAGGCGACCAGGGAGTAGTGGTATTTTTACGACTCCCTTCCTTCCCTGGCATGGATCCAACGGTTTGGTTTACTTTTGACTCCTGGGTCGGCCTTTTCACCATGACTACTATTGCAGGCACAGTGGGTTGGTCAAAGACCATACGAGAGGTACCTGGTTCACCTGGTTCAAGTCCTGCCTGGGAGCGGTTTTTCCAGCCGTGCTGCTACCCACAGTCAACTGGGAACTTGTGGCCAGGCACAAGGTAGGCCTTGGCGGATAATGCCGGCAGAAAAATTGGCAGAATTCGGTACTTTTTCTGGTAAGTTTCATGCATGTTTGGTATGTGGATAAAGAAATGAAGCAGAATTCGAGGAACTGCACGCCATAAGGTTTGTATGGTTCTGCCAATTTCACTGCTTTTCGAGCAGAATCTGCCACCTTTTCGAGCATTATCCGCCAGGGCCTAGTGATCGCTCAGCTATCGATCATGGCAACTAGCTCCTGTACTCCTCTGCGCAAGAACAGGAAGGATGGAGAAGCAGTATACATGTAGCTACTCAGCATCTTCGCCTCGGGACACGACATACTCATTTAGATGGGTGCAGAGCTGATTGACAAAGGCCTTGCCAACTTATCCCCATGGAACCCTGAAATACGCCTTCTTCCAATGGACAACTTCAGTGTACATGTAAATTCCCAGGACTCGTTGGAAACTCGACTGACATTCTGTCCATGACCCAGTCCAGGCATGTTATGAGCAGAGACAGAGGCAACTGGAGAAGATTGGCTGTCCTGAGCAATGGGGTGCGCACCATTACCCACTGCCGGTTCACGCCCACCAGTAAGCACCAGCGGATTATGCCGGCAGAAAAATTGGCAGAATTCGGTACTTTTTCCGGTAAGTTTCATGCATGTTTGGTATGTGCATAAAGAAATGGAGCAGAATTCGAGGAATTGCCCGCCATAAGGTTTAATTGTATGATTCTGCCAATTTCACTGCTTTTCGAGCATAATCCGCCGGTGCCTAGGCCGATCACCTTCGGTGTCGGCTTTCGCTCTGGAGCAACAACGAGTATGAAGCAGTCGTGGAGGAGGGCCGGTGCCTCCAGAAGACGTTGCATGCGCCAGTCCCCAGTGGTCGAAAGCGTGCTGTCGATGAAGCACACTTCAGGTAATCAGGCTCTTGAAAGTACAATGTACATGTACATGCACATGCATCCTAGTTTCAAGAGCCTGGAGTGTGTCCTACTTCTAAGACTTGCACAAGTACATGTAAATCGCACTGATTATGCAACTGATCGATGGCCGATCGATGGGTGACTGGCCCGAGACGTCAATACAATCATCCTCAGATCATGTGCATGATCCTCAGATCATGTGCATGATTGTAAAGTTGTTCAGGATTGCTTTGGGAATTGGTTCATTTTCATAATGGTAATACGAAGAGAGCTCTGCAGTACACCGGTACCTGGCTCCAGGCACTGTCTGTGCAGCTGCGTTCCATCGGTAAATCTGCTCGAACGTGCAGCTGTAGCTCATATTGTCATAATCATTTTGCACGTGCCGAACACAGCTGACAGCACTGCAGTGTACCTGGTGTAGTGACAGGCTAGGCCAAATCAGGTTCGGTCCAAGGCCGACCACGTGTCATGTCAGTGGACCCCCTTTCTTTTTTGCTCTGTACTCTAAATAAGCCAACACTCGCAATATGCCCCGCGCGTACCGCACGTAGACTGGCATTATGGCATATTTGTAGGCGCAGGCTGGATCGGAACTGACTGACGCATGCATGACCTCTGTGCACGAGCGGAAGATTCTGGAACGAATGTCGACTGCAAGCTACGCCCCGAAAATACCCCAAATAAAAGATGATGCTGGCTGGCTACTCTCCTTGCTGTTTTAGATTAGACAAAACTAGAGGTACTTGTTTTCTTCTCTCCCGTGACTACTCCGCCGTTCGAAAGCACCATGGGCAAATACACTCTCACCTACTTTGACTTGGCCGGCCGTGGCCAAATCACTCGTCACCTGTTCTGCCTGGGCGGCATAGAGTTTGAGGACAAGCGCGTCGGAGGCGAGTCATGGATGGCGATCAAGGACAGCTGCCCGCTCAAGCAGTTGCCCATCCTGGACGTACAGGGCATGGATACCCTGTGCCAGAGTTCCGCCATCGAGCGCTTCGTTGCCCGTGAGGTGAGTTCATTCAATTAAAGATTCCTGGAGTTCAGGGCTTCACTCGTCATTGTATTACAGTTCTGTTGGGCGCAGATCAACGGAACGCCGAAGAACGAGCTGCTCAGCAGCGTAGAATTTTACCAAGCACAGCATACCGATGTATACACGTTGACTGAACTGCGCATAGACTGTTACAGGAAAATAAGAACGGTCTAGGCTAGGAGGCTGACCCCCGCCCCCATTTCTTCAGCCGCCGACAATGCCGCCGGCATATCTGAGTAATTGAATTTGAAATAGTACTCCAAGTACCAAGAATCCACAACCCCCACGCTCAATAGTATGCAGCTCTGTTGATTGGGTCTGGCGCAGGGCATTGCCCACATGGCATCGAGCTGGGGAATCAGCTGGTCCACTGTGTCATTCTTGCTTTGCTAGGGTTTCCACCTCAGTCCAAGTGCGTTTTTCTGAGAGAGTTTGGAATGTGTGTGTGTGTGTGTTCGTGCGTGTGTGTGTGTGCGAGTGTGTGTGTGTGTGTGTGTGTGTGTGTGTGTGTGTGTGTGTGTGCGAGTGTGTGTGTGTGTGTGCGAGTGCGTGTGTGTGTGTACATCTACTGTTCTTTCAATCAAATGAACCCCTCGATAGGCACATTGCCTTTGGGTCATTTCATCTTTACTTATAAAAGAGAGGCACCTGTGACGTGTGTCTGTGTGTGTGTGTGTGTGTCACGCTCCTTATAAAGAAGAGGCACCTGTGACGTGTGTTTTTGTGTCACGCTGAAGCGCTGCGGAGCAGCGTTGCGCGCGCTGCCCTGAGCACGCGAAGCGTGCGAACAGTGTAGCACAGTGTAGCTAGCGGCCGCAGAAGCACTGAGCACGCGAAGCGTGCGAATCGTGTAGCTAGCGGAAGCAGCCACAGAAGCACTGAGCACGCGAAGCATTCGAATCGTGTAGCCACCACCACGTGCTGAGCACGCGAAGCGTGCGAACAGTGTAGGTACGGTCGGTGGTAGCGCTTATACTTATACATAGCAGACACGATCAGTACGAGTAGCAGCCGCGCGCAGAAGCACTGAGCACGCGAAGCGTGCGAATCATGTAGCCACCTAGCCTAGGCCATAGGTACTAGGTAGCGCTACTAGCAGCCGCACAAGCGCTGCGGACCACGTGAACCGTTCTCTGCAAATAAAAACATCTGCAACAAAAGGATACAAAAGATCTGCACTGACTGCACTCTGCATCTGATCTGCGGTGAAGAGCGCATCGCACTTTTGTTCGTAAGTTTATGAATTTTTTGAGCCGCTTCATCCGCCACCAGGTGATGGACAACCCTGACCAGCCTCCCGAAGGCGTAACAGACGTCCCTCCTTCTCCTTCCAACGATGAAGAACCTCCCTCACCAGGACTTCAGCGGTCTGGCCACCACCACGTGCTGAGCACGTGTGCTGTTCATGTACTTGCTTCACCCGCATGCCACATTCGGCCAGGCAACGCTGGCGGGGGTGCTGCTAGCATGACAGCATCACATTTTCTCCTAGGCCAACACGCGATCGTGACAGCAACACCAACAACACTTTTAGTATATTTACTATAAAAGAGAGGCACCTGTGACGTGTGTCTGTGTGTGTGTCACGCTCCTTATAAAGAAGAGGCACCTGTGAGGCTGTGACGTGTGTTTTTGTGTCACGCTGAAGCGCTGCGGAGCAGCGCTGCCCTGAGCACGCGAAGCGTGCGAACAGTGTAGCACAGTGTAGCTAGCGGCCGCAGAAGCACTGAGCACGCGAAGCGTGCGAATCGTGTAGCTAGCGGAAGCAGCCTAGCCACAGAAGCACTGAGCACGCGAAGCGTTCGAATCGTGTAGCCACCACCACGTGCTGAGCACGCGAAGCGTGCGAACAGTGTAGGTACGGTGGTAGCGCTTATACTTATAGCAGACACGATCAGTAGATCTCTACGAGTAGCAGTAGCCAGGTAGCAGCCGCGCGCAGAAGCACTGAGCACGCGAAGCGTGCGAATCATGTAGCCACCTAGCCTAGGTCATAGGCATAGGTAGCACTAGCAGCCGCACAAGCGCTGCGGACCACGTGAACCGTTCTCTGCAAATAGAAACATCTGGAACAAAAGGATACAAAGGATCTGCACTGACTGCACTCTGCATCTGATCTGCAGTGAAGAGCGCATCGCACTTTTGTTCGTAAGTTAGTTTATGAATTTTTTGAGCCGCTTCATCCGCCACCGGTGCACCAGGTGATGGACAACCCTGACCAGCCTCCCGAAGGCGTAACAGACGTCCCTCCTTCTCCTTCCAACGATGAAGAACCTCCCTCACCAGGACTTCAGCGGTCTGGCCACCACCACGTGCTGAGCACGTGTGCTGTTCATGTACTTGCTTCACCCGCATGCCACATTCGGCCAGGCAACGCTGGCGGGGGTGCTGCTAGTAATAATAATAAAACTTGATGTGTAGGGTATGTGTGCTAGCTCAGTAAACATGTGTGACAGTGTGCATGTGTGTGTGTGCGCGTGTTTGTGTTTAAGCGTGTTTGTGTGTTTGTGTGTGTTTGTGTGTGTGTGTGTGTGTTTGTGTGTGTGTGTGTGTGTGTGTGTGTGTGTGTGTGTGTGTGTGTGTGTGTGTGTGTGTGTGTGTGTGTGTGTAAGCCACTTCATAGCTGTGTGGTGTAGACCAGGCTGAATAGTGGCGGTCAATTCTTCAGCCTTGCAAGCTGTTGAATGGTGCAATCCCAGCACAAGTGCTACGGCTTCTGCCATAGCATCGGCGATGGGCATCAAATGGTCAATGGTGTGTGTGGGTGCGTGTGTGTGTGGGTGTGTGTGTGTGCGTGAGTGTGTGCGTGTGGTGAATCTAATTTTGTTTACATTTTTACATGGTGATAAAGACAGTGCGCCATGCAGAGCATGCAGCCCCGGCTTACCCCGTAGAATAGAGTTGCATTTTTGCATACTGTACAGGCAGAACATTTCGTCGGTCAATAACTCCAAAGAAAGTGAGTTCGTCCGGTTGTCAATTTCGGCCATGGATAATAACAGTGTATTGAACAGCTGGACAAATCGACACTAGTCCAGCATTTAGTTGTAGCCGTTGACCTAATCGTTTGCTTTTTCCACTTATTACCTTTTGAACGTTCACCTCCTTGCTGAGCGTGCACATTTTCTACGTTGACACGCTCACTGGAGCAAAAGTGTTCACTTCAGGGAACCGCTGAGCGTTCTAGAAGGTCGTTCATTGCCCGTCGGCATGGTTTCCATCACATGACGTGCGTGATACAATAGCACATGCACATGCACCGCCCAACACAAGCACGCACACGGTACGGGTACAAAGTGCTCGTCTATGGCCGAGTGGGTATTGCACAGCGCCCTGGAGGCATCACTTATCTGTTCCAATCCAGGTCCAATTTGTTGGTTGAACTGACCGGGAAAAAGACTTTGCTTTTCAACTCTGTCGTCAAACCAGAGGATGGTTTGAAGTGACGGGGCTTCGGCGGTATTTGATTGTAGAATCTGGCTAGTTGTCCTGCTGTTCAACTCCGGGTACTGACATGTCACTGGTTTTGTTGTTGTTGTTGTTGTTGTTGTTATTGTTGTCGTTGTCGTTGTCATTGTCGTCGTTGTTCCCGTTGTTGATGTTGTTGTTTCTGTTTCTGTTGCTTTCCTGTAGGCAAACCTGCTGGGCAGTGGTTCGACTGAGATGGCGACCATCGACCAGATCCACACGACGCTGGGTGACATAGTCGGGCTGGTGATCCCGTTCTACTTCGGCGAGGTATCAAAGGACGCCGAGAAGAAGGAGGCTCTACGCGTGACGCTGGTCAACGACAAGCTACCCGTCTTCTTCGCCTTCTTCAACAAGAAGCTGGAGGCGAACAATGGCGGGGACGGCTTTTTCGTGGGCTCGTCCGTTTCGCTGGCCGACGTAGCCTGGGCGAACATCGCCGGCTTCTTTAAAGGAATCGACACCGACGGCAAGTTCACCGCCGAGTACCCGAAGCTGTACGCCCTCGTCGAGCGCGTCATGGAGTTGCCGGCCGTCAAGGCGTTCAACGAGAAGCACGAGAAGAAGTGAGCGACAGCGTGGCAGAGCACCGTCTTTGTTTCTTGTTTCCACGGTTTCGTGATTTTCAAAATTTAGGCCATGGTCAAGCCCAGTATCTATAGTTACTCTATTGTATGTTTTTTTCTCTTTTCTAGTCTTTCAATGAAGTGGAGATGCTCTCCTGCAGCCTTTCAATCACTGTGCTTTGTAACCATGTGTGTGTGTGTGTGTGTGTGTGTTGGGGGGGGGGAGGGGGGGGGGAGGGGGAGTGTTAATCCATTTGTACGTATGTGTATGTGTGTGAATGTGTACATGTGTGTGTGTGTGTGTGTGTGTGTGTGTGTGTGTGTGTGTGTGTGTGTGTGTGTGTGTGTGTGTGTAGGCTAGAAAATAGTGGCGGTCAATTCATCAGCCTTGCAAGCTGTTGAATGGTGTAATCCCAGCACCAGTTGCTATGTCTAACATAGCTGTTCGCTATCATCGCTTCCGCGATGGGCATGTCTGAGGTGTGTGTGTGTGTGTGTGTGTGTGTGTGTGTGTGTGTGTGTGTGTGTGTGTCCCATATGGTGCAGTAGTATGTGAAAAGTCAATTTCCAATGGAGAGGTTGCGGGTTCAATTCCCGACGGTTATGGGCATACATGTCTTTCTTCTCTTTTCCAGACTCCTGACTTTTCTTTCATTCTCCTGGGTGTTTACCAACAGCCAGTGCATGCCCGAGTATGTGGTGTGACATGGGTGCGGAAAAAAGTGGAAAAAACTTTCAAAAAAGACCAACGCGTAGGGATTCACTGGTCAGAAAATGCCACTTCGAATAGCTGTGTGGTGTAGACCAGGCTGAATAGTGTGGCTATCAATTCTTCAGCCTTGCAAGCTGTTGAATGGTGCAATCCCAGCACAAGTAGCTTAATTTAAATGGCTTTTGCTGTTCCATCGCTATCATCGCCTCCAGCGATGGGCGTCAAATGGTAACTTGGTGTCACGTGTGCTTGGTTGGTTGGTTGGTTGGATTTATTTAAAGTCGTACAAGAAACAGGCATATCTGCCTCCTTATATGAAGACGACTTCTGGCAGTAAACCACTAACAGAAAAAAAGAGAAAAGTGCTTCAATCAAAGCAGCATGCTGTCTCCACTGCATCTTGACCGTCCTATTCCGATCAGGGAGTTGTAAAATATACCGGTATTTTATTCACATGGCTTCGCCAGTTGTGTGGATTAGACAGTTATCTGGCGCTTTTGTAGTATTGATCCTGTTTCATTCAGATTCAGATCCGCGCTATCGTTGCTACAGTGTAGTAGCAGAGAAAATCTGTGAGTGCTGCACATCCAGTGCATTTGCAGATTTGCGTGCTTCTCTTACGACGGGCGTATACATGTGCACGGTACATGGTGGGTGTGTATCCATTAAATTTTGTGTGTCCCCCCACACTAGTAGCAAGTATTATCTTCACTTGGGGGCAGGGGTAAATGCAGTTGGATCCCGGGACGGATACCTTGATGCGGTCAATCCTTTTTATGCACCTTGTTCTCACCACTTACTGAGGTGTGGTGAGCCCAAAAGTCCACTTAAGTGGGATCATTTTCCAAGTCCACCCATAGTTTGGGGATTTCAGGGGGGGGGTGTCAGCAATTGGGCGGTTCAATATCCTTTCTTTCCAAGATTCCTTTTGAGTCTCTCTCTCTCCTCTCCCGGGGAGACCCGCATGACCAGTTTTGGCAGTGAGCAAGTACAAGTGTGTGTGTGTGTTCGCATTTCTGTTTTCCACATGCGATGCGTGCGGTCGATATTGGGTATCACATGCCATCGTTGCTGGGATGACCACATATCAAACAACCAGCTGCTTGAGTGGTGGGGTGACTCCGAAACCATCGTCACCAAGGTTCAGCATCGGCGCCTCGAGTGGCTAGGCCATGTCGCCCGCATGGACGACGTGCGATTGGCCAAACAGTTGCTGTTCGGCACCCTGCCATCTCGTCGCCCTGCACATGGCCCACATCGGCGGTGGAAAGACTGCGCTGTGAAGGACCTCCGCTCACGAGACCTTGAAGCGGACTGGTACAGAGTGGCCTGTGACTCTCGCCCAGACTGGAGGTTGGCTTACACCTCGGACGCCCCGCTACCGGCAGGGGAAGAGCGTGGGCCAATGGGTGCTCATCGGCCACGCAACGAATGCAACGTTTATCTAGTTTGGCTACTGTGTTCCGCTGCTCAGCGGACAGTCCTGGGAGAAACCCATTCGACGCATATAGAATGTCCGGTATGACAAGGGCAGAGTAATACAGCATCGCCTGCCGCACTGTTAGCCAGTGCCGGATCTGGCGGAGGATTCGCAGCTTCATAGCCGTGCGTCGGACGATAGAGGTGACTTGCGGTGACCACAGAAGATTTTCGTCCCCAGTGACTCCGAGGTAGCGAGCCGTAGCAAGAGCAAGAGTAAGAGGCATGCCAGTGCAAGTAATGTGGAGGTCGAGGTGTGCCTGCCGTCCATCTTTGATTGCAAGTACTTGCGTCTTTCCGGTGTTGAGGATAAGCCCTTTGGTATCGAGTAGCCTGGCGACAGCCGACACTGCTGCGGAAAGGGTAATGTTGATGGCGTGAGCGCAAGCGTGGCTCAGGTACAGCGCGATGTCGTCCGCGAACATTAGTGTACGCACCAGGTCAGCTACTGATGCGACACATCTCGTGTAGATAGCGAATAATACCGGACCAAGCACGCTTCCCTGGGGGACACCGCACGTGAAAGCTGTTTCCCCTGAGCGTGTACTGTTGGCAGTGACCACACATTGGCGTCGTGCGCTGAGGTAGTCCGCAAACCAGTCCAGTGTCGTAGAGGAGACACCAAGTTCGAAGAGATCCTGGAGCAAGGTCTGATGTTGGACATTGTCGAAAGCTTTGCTCATATAAATGAGCACCGCGCCGGTATGCAGGTGCTGCATGGTCTGCGGCTTCGTAAAATTGATCCACAGCCAACAAGACTGCGTCCTTTGTGGAGTGGTGTGCTCGGTAAGCGAATTGTTCGGCAGGAAGGAGGTCATGTTCGGTTAGGAGCATACAGAGCCTTTTATGCACAATCCTTTCCAGGATCTTTGAAACAACCGGAAGCAAAGATATAGGGCGGCAGTTCTTAGCAGTTCCGGGGTCTCCTGCCTTGCTCATGGGGCGAATATGGGCCAATTTCAGCATCAACGGAACCGTTCCCATGGCCAGTGACGCGTCCATCAAGATAGTCAGTGACGGGGCCAGGACCCGAGCACAGTGTCGCAACACATAGCAGGGAATTCCTCCGCTACCCTTGGCCTTCCTCTCGTCTACCTTCAGCAGGAGAGCAAGCATTTCTTCGCATGTGGCTGGTTCGAAGCGGTTCAAGCCATCTGCTATGCTTAGTCCCTTGGGTTGAGATAGGACATCAGGTCATGTGTGTGTGTGTGTGTGTGTGTGTGTGTGTGTGTGTGTGTGTGTGTGTGTGTATGTGTGTGTGTCCATGTCTCTAACAACGTTTGGGTTTCAGGTCAGTGTGGTGAGAATCATGCTGCCTAGCTAGAGACATGACAGTCATTCGTACTACAAAATACATAATTTGTGCCTACACAGCGACACAGCTTCCAATCTCTCCTCGATCTTGTGCACTTGTACCTACATGTCCATGTACATGTGCAAATAAGCCCATTGCGCAATGACGTAATAAGCCCATTGCGCAATGACGTAATAAGCCCATTGCGCAATGACGTAATAAGCCCATTGCGCAATGACGTAATAAGCCCATTGCGCAATGACGTAATAAGCCCATTGCGCAATGACGTAATAAGCCCATTGCGCAATGACGTAATAAGCCCATTGCGCAATGACGTAATAAGCCCATTGCGCAATGACGTAATAAGCCCATTGCGCAATGACGTAATAAGCCCATTGCGCAATGACGTAATAAGCCCATTGCGCAATGACGTAATAAGCCCATTGCGCAATGACGTAATAAGCCCATTGCGCAATGACGTAATAAGCCCATTGCGCAATGACGAAGTAATTTGTACCATACACACCCCAGCCAGTCACATCTGGCTGCGGCCAACTACCCTTCACTTTGTGTAGTGTCGCTATTGCGGTCTATGTCTCTCTCTATGTCTCTATGTCTCTCTGTGTGACAGTATATGTTATTCCCGTAGCTATGCAAAAGACGTTACTTCAGTAACGTCTGGCGCTAGCCAGGGTCCACACAGTTTAATTCCGTGTATGTTTGTCAGGGGCGGATCCAGTAATTATTTCGTTCGCTAATCTCCACTACTCGTCGTCTCAACTGGCTTCAGAAGATGTTACGAGAGATAGGAGAGTCTCCAGCAGGCAACGCATCCATCTTCAGGAAGTGGAAAGAGCAAACGGCATGGTCCTTGGTTGAGGTAAATGCTGAACGTTTGATTTGTCCCAACCAAGATTTCAGCACTTGGTTCGTCACGATTTTCGCTTGCCAGCTAACGTCTCCTCACTTCAGCTTTCCCCTGTCGGTGTCACGTCCCAGTACACAACGAAGAGGACTACTAATAAACAGTTCACGGCACTAACAGCATTGAACACAGTACTTCTTTCACTTCGTGAATACCAGAAGACAACTGAAAATGACACAATTCTGCAGCTCTCTCACGGAGCTAAGCAGAATGTGCGTCATCACCTGTAGTCGCCATGGAAACGGGATCAGGAAATCGGCGATATGGCAAGTTTCCCTTGCCGTACGCAAGCGAGAGATATACCATCGGAACCGATATCCAATTGTCTTTCATGTGAGCCCTACTTGAAAAATCGATGCACTTCCCCTTTAATAGTGTCATACCCATAGGCAATCATCATCAGACAAACACACATACATGTACAAATACTGTAACGGCGGACATGGAAATCCAGTCGATTGACCGGGGCCGGCGCCCTCAGCGCGTACAAAACGCTGCGTGCAGTGCACAGTCATGTTGATCCGATGCGACCAGCGCGCTGCAGCACATAGCTGCATGTGTGTATCGCTCCACGGCTGCATGGCCATCGCCCTGGGGGCTGCTAGACGTGCAACCGGATTTCCATGTCCACGACAGTAGATCACAGAATATAACAACAAGGACAATCAAGGCTTCTTTGCTGCTACTACAAGTTTCATGCTCTCGCAATCATCAGGCAACAACATGCCTGATGATTGCAAGAGCATGAAACTTGAAATACAGTCAACTTCGCTAATAACGACTGCGGATATAACGACAGAATTTCCATGCCCGCAACAAAGTCCGATCGAACTGTAGTTACATACAATGAGACTTCGGGTATAACGACACTTCACTAATAAGGACACTTTCCTGATGCCCCGCCGAGTGTCGTTATATGCGAAGTTGACTGGAGCAGCAAACAAGCCTTGATTGTCCTTGTTGTTCTGTTGTGTATTACGCTCTGCCTCCGCGGTGTCGAGCACTGTCAGCACTCTGGGTACATCCTCCAGTGTACATATAGATTTTTTTTGAAGGATAAAGTGCGCAGTCAATCCATGTAAACATGCAACTAGTAGTGCAAACATCACCAGTCACCTTCGTGACGGCAGCTGATGGTGTTTTTTATATAAATGCTCCCCCTTTTTGCCAACTGCCCTAAACTCTTGAATCGGTAAGGCAATTGGGAGTACCAAACACACAGTATCGCACACCACATAGAATGTTGTATGCTGCGGATCAGAAGTTCATTTCTACAGGGGATCGTGTGTTTGAACTTTAATGCTCTTTACAAAGCCTCCACCCTGAATGCTGAAGTTTTTTAATTAAAGAAGGCCTCAACGTTCTGCATGTGTAGATAATAATATTATGATAATAATTATAAAAAAAGTACTTACTGCATGAGAGCGATATTTTTAGTCGGCGGTAGATACGGATATCCGGAGGACTGAATAAGCCAAGTCTGAGCAGATCCAGAGAATATCCGGAGGACTGAATAAGCCGAGTCTGAGCAGATCCAGAGTTCAACGAGACAGCATAACAAACAATGTAGCTGAGATGAACAACAATGATGCCGCCGCATCCACAAGACACTGTGCAGTTACAGGATGCCGCATCCACAAGACACTGTGCTTACAGGATGCCGGTGAGACTTGGTGCCTATTTCAAAGTACTAATTTTCGTACTTGATCTCGGGCGGCGGAACGAATCGGTACTTCATTTGCAGCTGTCTCTCGCTCAGGCCGGCATCGCTGAACCTGTGCACATCACCGTCCTCGTGTGGCCAAATGTCTACGTGAAGCAGGGTGAACTGCTCAATGGATTGTCGCTCCAGCAGACGGTATCTGATCGTCGGAAGCCCCTCGTGTTGCGCGAGCCTTTCCGCCACCCGTAGCAGCTGGAAACGCAACGGATTCTTGCGCCCGACAGTGTGTCCTGACTTCTGAGCAACGTATCGTCCGATGCTCTTGTCCAGGCGTCGATAACCACCAAGCACTTTTATGCGTTTCTGAAGGTCATCGTCTTCTCCTCCCCAGCCAAAGTATCTGTTGCTAAAACCGTTCACCTGTGCGTATCGCTCGCTTATGAACATATTTACACCGCCTGCGGTCGTCTCAAACGGTAGTCCCCAGTCGTACACATCTATAGCGGTACTCAGTTGCCATGCCCACACATTGGGCGTCTGCATGCAGTCGTACGTGTTCCGCTTCGCCACGGGTATCAAGTCCACGTCATGCAGCACGATGCATTGGAACTGCTTGTCCGCTGGACGTCCGCGATTCATCTCCACGAATCCGATGTTGAACAGCGCGCCACGGTTGAAGCGGCTTGTGAACGACTGCTCCACGATAAACACTTCAAAGACGATGCGCTGCCCTCGTAGAAACTCTCTCAAAGACGAGGCGAACTTATGCAGCTGTCTGCTCCTGTTGCGATATGGCACGATTACAGCCACTCTTGTCCATTCACTGGCATCTCCAGTGGGAGTACTAGCGGCCGCCACACCATTCCCCACAGTGGCATCATCCGCGGTGGCTTGTCCACCATCCTGAGTGTCATTGGTAGTGCTAGTGTTAGTCGAACTCCGCTTGGAAATTGCAGTCATCCCATGGTGCGAGCTTCCTGCGAGAGCGTGCTTCAAATCTACGAATGTTGTCGATGCAGTGCGCTGCTGCCATGTCAATGGTTGTAAAATAATTTCCGCCGCCTCTGGAGTGCCGACGTAGCTGGGCTGCACGATAGAGCGAAACCAGAACTCGATCTGCGGATATCTCGTCGAGATCCTGAGTGAAAAATCAACCGCGCAGAAGGCAGCGATGGCGCACAGAAGCAGAGTCAGAAAGCCACGGGCTGACGGTGGGCCAGTAAAGCGTATCTCAGCACCGCCGGCCCTGTGGATGTCATTGCTCACCGTTGACGGGAACGATTTCTCCGGAGATGACGGCAATATACTTTCGCTTGACGGCATTTGGACCGTCGACAGTCACAGCCCTGCGTCCGAACCTGCACAAAAGGAAGACAGGATACACGGACCATGTAGAGGAGACGGCTCGATACCGGAACGTTTTGACAGCCAAATTTGTATAGACCCAAAACGATCATCAACGTTGATTTTTCACTCGAAATATGTTTGTGGAAGGAAACTGGCATGTTGAAGTTTGCTCTGGGGCCAGAGTCAATCGAACTGAGCCACTCCTTTGTGTTGACCCATTGCCTCCAAGTTGCCCAATTTTTCGCTTCAAAAAAGTTCAAATCAGAGGTGGCTCCAAACCGGACACGTTTTAGAGTGCCCGTCAAATTCACTCTGGGTCTGAAATTAGGTAATTGCTATCGCTCCACGACGGCCAGTACAGAGTAACAATAAGCCTTGTGTGTGCTTCCATTAGTTTTGATTGGTATGCGGTGCTTTATTGTCGAGAGGCGAGCCGCTGTTTACCTGCGACAAGAAGTTGATTTTTCGAAAGTCGTAAAACTCAAGTCGCAGTGCGAAGCAACACGTCAAAAACTCACCTGCTTGATATGGCGCTTCTGGTCATCGCAGAGCCATGAAATTTTGGCTCGGAGTATAACACATCGTAGTCTCACTGTGACATATGTTTTCTAATCAAAATACCAAGAGAGAAAGTGAATATTGAGTCCGTTCCGGTTTGCAACCTATTTCCTATTTGAAACCGTCGCCTCTACCATGCGGACCATGCGGACAAGCCCGCCTCTACTGGCTCTAGTCTAGCTCTAGCTCTATGAGTATGACCATGATGACAGCTAGCAGCCCAAGGCCAAGTCAAGAATCCTGTAAAAACTTTGTCCGGTGTGTAGATCTACATTGTACTGTGCTGTACGTACATGTACATGTACACACCGGACAGCGATCGGACAATGTGCGCGTGCATGCATTTTTTCAGGGGGTAACGGCCTCTTTTACGGGCAAAATATTTAAAAGTCATGTAGACGTGAAAAAATTGAGATACCATGAAAGGTAAAATAGAATTTTATTCAAGTACAATACATTGGGAAACTCCAAGAAATTCCACGTACGTGCATGCATGGTAACACGAACCACACGCCGCGAGATCACATTCAGGTAAATAAGGACTGCATTTGAAAGTCAACATGCAAGGCCAGAGTTAAGTACATGTACATGCATTTGAAGTGGGGAGAAACCTGGGAAGGCGACCACTCAGTCTCTGGAAAGACGACCACTACCCGAGAGGACCACTGCACACAACTACCAGTACAGACAGTGCATGTACTGTACATGTAGCTGGCCTTTGCTTTGCTGCGTGCTAACATCATGTGTCTGCGGGGGGCTCGCTCACCATTTCCCTGGCATAGGGGGATGGATGACGCCTCTCCAGATGTTCCTGTTGCTGAAGCCCGCCTTGTTGGCAACTAGCTAACACGGGTAACGGATACCGACTGATCAACAGAGACTATCTCAAAAATGGAGTTATCATTGTGTGCAGATTGTAAAGTTTCATTTTATTTTTATTTACATTTTTTGTTTTGTTTTGCTTTGCAGTTGTTGCCGCGGTCAGGCCAGTGAAATCATGTTCTGTGATTGCCCGTATAAGAGGCTTAAGAAAAAAACTGTACATGTAGTTGAGGATCAAAAGCAGGGTGCTGATCTAATCTCCAATCGAATGACCCTGGATGGGGAGACCACCTGAACACAGCGGTCACGTCAATTATTATTTGTAAGGTCCCTTGATCTGGCGGCGTTCAGTGAGGAAGTAAAGTTGTGTACGAGCACAAGTGCCCTACAGGCCACTTCACCAGGCCACTCCACCAATGCACCATGTCCACGTCCTCCCCTGGCCACATCACTGATCAGTTTGAGTCAACAGATTTTTTTCTCACTTTGACAGCTGGAAACCTTTCTCTTTTGCAGTTTTCATTTATAATTATCATGGTATCCACGTTTCTGTAGTGATCATGTGATCATCATCAGGAATGAATTAGACATGAGAAAGGAGCGGTTTGGGGAATCTCTTCTTTCTTGTCCAAATCCATATCAAAGCAGATGGGCGAAAACAGAACAAAAACGTCTAGTTCCAAAAAGCATATTGAAATCATTTACTGCGCCACTTGAAATTCCACTTTTCCCCAAGGCATGGGGCACTTGAAAAACACCAAAGTGCCAGAATCTAAGCTCTTCTGTGGATCCATGTGTTCCGCGATATGCCGGTACATCTTGTAGCGCAGACTGCTAACGGCAGGGCCCATAATGCTAGTAGTGTCGTGAACGGCAGATCAACCGGGATGTCTTTCCAACACTAGAAAGTGCGTCCGATCTCTTTTTAGCTGCTCTGGTAGTACTGCAGTGCAGTGCAGTCGTGGCCAGGTCGTAGTAAAATACTAGTACTTATCACTCCCTTAGTATTGACTCCCATTGATTTTCGCTATGCCTAAGCAGTCAAATATTCCTGCATATTTCACTCCTTAGGGCTGTATTGACTGCTTATATTTGACTGCTTAGGGGTTGCGCAGTTGAACGGTGCCTAGACTAGTGCAGCATTGTCACTGCATGAGTAGGTGGTGGTGCAACGGTTGTGCAATCATAAAACCGGGATTCTTGAGGTTATCGTTCTGGAATTTGAAATACGGACTGTTTGTCGTAATAAATCTAATATTGACTTCGTACTTGGTCAGTATAGGAAATAAAAACCTCGTAAAAGACCTCGGCTTCGCTTCGGTCTTTTACTCGGCTTATATTTCCTACATATTGACCTCGTACTCAGTCAATATTAGATACGTATTTTACGACTCCCTGGTCGTGGCCAAAGAAATCCTTCTACACTAACAAATTTAACAAATGATGCAAAGCGAACATTCTACTCGTCTTTTATTCGGTCTACCCTAGACTATGCCAGTAATGCTTACCTACATTGTTTAAGCACAACTCTGTACAATAGGATTGTGACCGTTAGTCACATAGCAATGAAGAGAGTGTTTGGACTCGATCGTACCACGCCCACTGAACTAGTTCTTCGCTTATATCACCTCTATTCTTTGGAACAGCGTATTAGCCTCAAGCTCTATGTTCTGCTTGGCCCAGCATATTGCTAGTCCTCTTCTTCAGTCTTTGTACCAGCTTCGGCCAACTGCACCTGGTCACCAGGCATGCACCCGGGGCAAGGCACAAAGAGCCTTAGTTATCCCACTCGTTTATACGCAGTATGGCATGCGCTCTATTTCTTTTCTGGCGGCAGGCAGATGGAACTCTCTTCCAGCTGACTGTCGACAGGCCCACTCTCTTGCTCTGTTCATTGGTATGGTTAAACTTCACCTAGGGTTCCCAGTAAAAAGGCAGTAGCCTGTTGGGACTCCCCTAGTAAAACGAGAGAGCTTGGAAGCTCAGGGCCCTACGCTATGCTTTTTTGCCTTGATGACCTAGACAAAATAAAAGCATAGGGATGTTATAAATTCTTTAAAAAATTCCTTTTTTTTCAAGACATAACCTGGGATTCGAACTAGGCCTTGACAGATTATGCTAGCATAATTTTTCGCATAATTCCTACCAAAATCGAATAATCGCATTATTCGAGGCAAATTGCATACGAATCGCATAGAATTGGACTAATCCGCCTGTTCGCATCAAATAATTCCATACAGGTGTACATGTTCTACAAGTACAAGACTTACAAGTAGACACACCAGGAAGGCGTAGGTTTACGACTCCCTTGATAACATGTCCAGTCCACTACAATCAGTGACCAGGGTGACGTCATAGCTAGATCGGACGGTGCGTTGACCCCGTTGAACTTTTGCTACTACAGTACAACGCCCTCTACAAAAAAATTCACCTGTTATTTTGCACAGAACCATCTTATACATTAGCAGCATATGTGAGCATAATGCCGCATAATATGATAACTTCTAGCATAAAAATAGCATAATTCTGCAATTTTTTCAGCAATGCGAAAAGCATAATTTCACGAAAATATTAGCATAATCTGTCAAGGCCTAATTCGAACCCGCACTATCGCGCGCCCTGCATGCATCCCCAGATACACTTCGCATACATACTAATTCTTCCGAGTTGTTTCACATTGTGATCTTGCATTTGAAAGCCCTATTTGAATATGCATTGTGGCCAGCCGTCTTTGATGGCACGGTACGGTAGGGGATAGGTACGGGACAGGTACGATCGAGGGTAATACGACACCGTCTCCCGTACCGTACCGTACCATCAAACACAGCTGGCCACATACAGCTACCCGCAATATTCAAATAGGGCTTTCAAACGCAAGATAATAACGTAAAGCAACTTGGAAGAATGGGTATGAATGCGAAGTGTATGGGGGAATGCATGTAGGGCGATAGTGCGGGTTCGAATCCCAGGATATGCCTGAAAAAAAAGGAGAATTGAAAAATTTATAACATCCTATGCTTTTTTGCCGTCAGATACGGATAGCCAGGCGTGACACAAACAAACACACAAACACCAAATTAAAGCTGTGTGGACCCTGGCTAGCGCCAGACGTTACCCTTCTGCATAGCTACGGGAACGAGAGAGCTTGGAAGCTCAGGGCCCTACGCTATGCTTTTTCACCTTGATGACCTAGACAAAAAAAGCATAGGGATGTTACCAATTCTTCCAAGTTCCAGAACACATCCGCTGCGTTCAGTCCTCTGTCAAGTTCGCATTGCTCTAAAGGCTCATTACTCACAGCATAGATATTCTCTGACTGGAATTCCGAACTTTTCCGTTTGAGAAATTTTTTTTCCTTGAAATTAATCCTTGCTGGGTTTTTTTCATCTAAATGTCCCGCTATTATCTGCAGAGGTGATTTCTTCCCTCGTCGATTTCTTTCCTGCTTTTATACCTCGATATTTAGGTACTTGTTTCCCTTCTTCCCATGCTTCATCTTCCACTCTCCTCTCCCCCATTTCCCCATTTTTCTTGCGATATTTATGTGGGAGACTTCCGTGATAAGCATCCATTTGCTTTTGGAGAATCCTTTAAATAAATACAATACAGAAGTTGCTGCACGTTATGATCCTGTATTTGAAAGATGTACCGTAAAGTACCGTTGATCCGCCCCCACGCTATGTCGCTTCCCAGCTGGGTTTTCGGCAGGGGGCGGGAATTAGATCAAGGCTGTCAAGTGCAGTACGGTGTACAACAACGTAGAGGATCAGACTCAATGTGCTGGATTGTGCACATTTTCATCCTGGATTGGCAAGTATTGTGTACAGCAGTGCATGCGTCGGTTCAACATCGTATTTCGTTGTATACGCCGAAGTCACTTCACAAGGAGAAAATCGACAGGGGGCGGGAATTAGAGAGGGGGCGGATCAACGGTACTTTACGGATTTGAATATG